TCATTGATATCTTAGGAATTGTTTTCACTCATCTGTTTGACTTTTGCAGTAGTATTTTGTGCAATGCTTGTTCTCCTTTTCTTCTGTTTTTTACCTAACAACTCACAAAACAAGTTAGTGTTTAGTTTTGGAGTTTTCCAATTGCAATCCAAAGGAAACTTTGCCAAAATTCTCATTGCGTTCGACGTTAGGAGAACGCTTCGTAATCTTTGGGGATCCTGTGGTCGATGGGATACCTGTGCATGCCAGGCGTGAAGATTCGAGATTTTTGGTTACATGGACGGGCGATGTTCAAAATCTGCGCCATTTTGAATAATTATTAAGCGCGCGCACGAATTTTAAGCCCAATAGCCGGCCAAAGAAATTGCGGGCTCACCTGGTGGACATGCGCATTACATATTTGGGTTTCACTATTAAAGTTGCTATTGTTCATGTTGCTCTTTAAATACTTCGTCTTTCTCATTTAATCTCTCAACTAATTTCCTCCTCTGTTTTTGTATGATTTTAGCTAAATTCATTGAACTTCTAACGCACTTATTAATCTTTGATTACTACTAGTATTAATAAACATTAAGTTAATTTCATGCTTTCAATTTTTCATCCCAATTCATTATAGTCCCCTTAATAGGTCTGACGGCTGAAATGCAGCTTTCAGTGTCACAAGCTTTTGATTCAGCCTTATTTACAAAAGCATTCAAAAATAACCCTTTAACTAAAACAAAATGAAAAATTTCTGCCCAGACCCCAATAAAATGAAAAATGTCTGCTCAAACTAATACCAGTGTCCATTCAAAAACAATGTGCAGGAAAGATAATCTTTGTGCAGGATCAGTTGTTACTCTGTTTCTTCTCTGCTTCATTGTTTTCCTCCTTGTGTTCCTCTTTCCTGAAACAAACATAACACAATTTCAATTCTAAAGGATTATACAGATCAGAATTTTTAAAAGATTCAAAGTAGCCAGACACACAGCTCAAATAGCTATCAACTTCAATGTCATTAGGTAACTTATATCTCTCAAGTTGCCTTCAATGCATTTGCTTTGGCCTGTCTATCACCCTCTTGGGCTTCCATTTGAAGAATAATTTCTTAAAATTTGGCACACAGAAGCAACTTTGATTCAAAGCCAATTTTCAAAATGATTCATCAAAATCTTCTGGTTCTGTGAGGGAGGGGGGGGAGGGGGGGTCTAAAGAATATTATGGAGCCTTACAGGGGATCAGGTGAATTTCATTGGGAGACAACCAAAATCCTCGAGCAGCCCCCAACCCCCCGCTGAACAGTCCCTAAGATAGCTAATGTTAGGTAACGTAAGGTAGCTGATGGAAATTGCTTATCAGAACTAGACCTACCCAATGTACGTAAAATCAAATGTCACGTTGTCTCCCATCAGCACAAATGGAGCCCACTGATTGGGTTTGGGAAAGCCGTTGCTTCTCAACCATTTTACGGCCTGGTGAAGAGATTCACTGGCACTTTCTCCACGAACAAGGTGCTTGTAGAAATGATTCATGAGCTGCTCCGTTGCTTCGTCTTCTATGGCCCACGATGCTACCAACACTGAACGTGCACCGGATGCTAAGAATGCACGAGCGATTCCAAGAACTCCTTCGGCTTTGACCAATCCACGCGCACTGTGACAACAGCTCAATACAACCAGTTTTGCTCGCACTTGAGCTCCGAAAATGTCGGACATTGTCAAGAGGTAGTCTTCTTCTTGTGGAAAACTGTTGGTGGTACATTTAGGACATTTAGGCGACAGGGCAATCTCTCCTCTTTCGGCATTTCCATGAGCGGCAATATGTATGAGACTCACTGAAGGTATCGCTTGAAGCACTGCCTGCTTAGTTGCAGACTCTCCTAACAAAGGCTGAACTCCCAGCAGTCGACCAACCATCTCTGCTTCCTTTCTAGCACAGAACAATGGTACAAAGTTAGCGACACGTCCATTGTAATACACCTGGCCAACCGTAGGATCACCCACTACAAGTGCACCAGTTTCACTGTGATAATCCGCTGGACAATCTTGAATGAGCCGGAGGGTCGTCAGAGAAGGGACGATACGGATTCTGTAAGTCTCTGATAGATACTTTCCGGCTGATTCATCACGCAAGGCAGCAAATGGGACTCGATACGAGAAACGATACGGCACAATGATGATTTCAGGCTCTGTAAGTAAATCTACCACAGGAGCGATGATCCATTTGTAACACAAATGATGAATTCTTTCGGTTTCTTTGCTTTCGTCACCGCGCAAAGTTGCTCGGCTCTCTTCAAAAAGAGATGTCGTTACGTTGCCATCCAAAGATCGATCTTCGCAATTCGCTTTGGGTAAAACGCCAAAGCTGGCGGCGCTCTTTTTAAAAATTCCCTCCACGTTGCAAACATTCTCAGGAATGAGAGTGCTGTCTTTCACTTGGTCGGTGACTCGAAAGGAAATGTCTCCATTTGCTTTCAAAACCCAGAGACAAACATGCCGCTCAGTATACAAAATGTACAAAAAGACACAGTTACTCTCCTTTTTCACGATGTGTTCAATCCCGAACCATAATTTTGGATCAGCCGAGATGTGGCTTTCAACGGAGAACTTCTCTGCCATGCATTCTACGAGGACTCTCGCTCGTCCCAGCTCCTCGACATAAAGAGCGTCTTGAAATTTGCCAGTATCGCAAAGCAAAGTAGTGAGCAAGTGATAAGGAAAACTACCGTGCTCTTCTAACAGAGATATTTCAAACTCTTTGTTTCCTTTAAGAAAACTCCTCAATTGTTCATATTTTCCAATACATTGAAGGAGATGTTCCTTTGCCTCCACAACCTGTGATTGCGATACCTTTAACTGTGTGATGCTGAGAAGGCTTTTAAACTCAGTCATTATGTCTCCAATTCCACTGCTTATGGAGCGAGCCTTCTCTAAGTAATCTTCTGCCTCGTCGTATTCACCAAGCGATCCAGATAGATTTCCGAGGTTGAGGTAACTTTGTCCTTCCAGAGCTTTATCGCCACATTCCTTGCTGATGGTGAGCGCCTTCTGATAATGTTCTTTTGCTTTCTGATTGTCATTGATAAAAGCGAACACTACTGCCAAACCTGATGAACTGCATCCTTCAAATCTTCTTTCTCCAATTGCTGTACTGATGCTGAGTGCTTTGTCGAAATATTCTTTAGCTTGACGATATTTCCTAAGCCTGCAGTAACCGTTTCCAAGGGCTAAGTACGCTGAACATTCGTTTCTTCTGTTTCCTATTCCTTTTGCGATGGCGATTGCTTTCTCGTAATATTCTTTGGCCTTCTGATGTTCGCCAAGGGATTGAAACACACCTCCGAGGTTCCCGTATGTTATTCCTTCTCCTTTTCTGTGGCCGATTTCTATCGTGATGGCAAGTGCTTTCTCGTAATATTCTTTGGCCTTCTGATATTCGCCAAGGGATTTAAACACTACTCCGAGGTTCCCATATGTTCTTCCTTCTCCATTTCTGTCGCCGATTCCTATCGCGATGGCAAGTGCTTTCTCGTAATATTCTTTGGCCTTCTGATATTCACCAAGGGATTGAAACATAACTCCGAGGTTCCCGTATGTTGTTCCTTCTCCATTTCTGTCGCCGATTTCTATCGCGATGGCAAGTGCTTTCTCGTAATATTCTTTGGCCTTCTGATATTTGCCAAGGAATTGAAACACACCTCCGAGGTACCCGTATGTTGTTGCTTCTCCATTTCTGTCGCCGATTTCTATCTCGATGGCAATTGCTTTCTCGTAATATTCTTTGGCCTTCTGATATTCGCCAAGGGATTGAAACACAACTCCGAGGTTCCCGTATGTTGTTCCTTCTCCATTTCTGTCGCCGATTTCTATCGCGATGGCAAGTGCTTTCTCGTAATATTCTTTGGCCTTCTGATATTCGTCAAGGAATTGAAACATAACTCCGAGGTCCCCGTATGTTCTTCCTTCTCCATTTCTGTCGCCGATTTCTATCTTGATGGCAATTGCTTTCTCGTAATATTCTTTGGCCTTCTGATATTCGCCAAGGGATAGAAACACACCTCCGAGGTTCCCGTATGATGTTCCTTCACCATTTCTGTGGCCGATTTGTATCGCGATGGCAAGCGCTTTCTCGTAATATTCTTTGGCCTTCTGATATTCGCCAAGGGATTGAAACACAACTCCGAGGTGCCCGTATGTTCTTCCTTCTCCATTTCTGTCGCCGATTTCTATCGCGATGGCAAGTGCTTTCTCGTAATATTCTTTGGCCTTCTGATATTCGCCAAGGAATTGAAACACACCTCCGAGGTTCCCGTATGTTCTTCCTTCTCCATTTCTGTCGCCGATGTCTATCGCGATGGCAAGTGCTTTCTCGTAATATTCTTTGGCCTTCTGATATTCGCCAAGGGATTGAAACACAACTCCGAGGTTCCCGTATGTTCTTCCTTCTCCATTTCTGTCGCCGATTTCTATCGCGACGGCAAGTGCTTTCTCGCAATATTCTTTGGCCTTCTGATATTCGCCAAGGGATTGAAACACAACTCCGAGGTTCCCGTATGTTCTTCCTTCACCATTTCTGTCGCCGATTTCTATCGCGATGGCAATTGCTTTCTCATAATATTCTTTCGCCTTTAGATACTCGCAGAGGATAAAACAAAGAGATCCAAGTCTCGCGTAAGCCACTACCTCTTCTCTACGGTGGCCAATCGCTTTCATGATGGTAAGAGCGCTTTTACAAAGTTGCTTTGCCTCTGCAAACCAACATTTTGCCTCGTATTTGTCTACCAGTTGTATGGTTAGTTCTCCAGCGAGGAAAAACTTGTCAATAAGTTTTGTGGTGTATCGTGCTGCATTTGTGTAACCAGAGGTGGCGTAGAACACATTGAATAATACATCAGCGATATCATGATCAAGGTCAATACCAGAGTCAAGCTTGTGAAGTAGAAATAAACATTCATTACATAACTCGGTCGCTTGTAGGCCACGATCGGTGTTAAGGAGAAATATGGCGACATCCAAACCAATCTGGACTGATTTTAGGATTTCTGCGGCGTTATTCATTACGTTATGTCCTGAATGTTAAAAGAATTTCCCCAAACGTGAGAAAAGAATCAGCAAAAACTAAGACTTTCTATAGATGCATGAGCGCCTCTTGTCTTTCTTGTTTAATTCAAGACAAGCTCTATCAATTTTTTTAACCAATTGATCATCGGTTAATCCATTGATCGTGCTATGCTGGCGTTCAACTCACTGATTATTTACTTTTTACATGCCACACAATTAATTAGAACTGAATCTGGTCGCAGTGTTCTGTTTGAAAGTGACTTCCACTTACATTCATTAGAGGGTGAATCAAAATTAGCACCGTTAGCCGTTAACATTTAAGTTCAACTCAAAGCATTGCTAAATTGGTGTTTGTGTAACAAATTAAACGACATAAAATGTGTTGAATCTACATCAACATTATTATTTCTGGAACTTCTACTGGGTAGACATTGTGAATAGAACGGGACCATTTTAGTGGGAATGTATTCTACACGACGCGTCTTGCGCGTGCATTCATGTCATTCACACTGACCTCTGCAACTCGCTGTATCTGCCTGTTAGTTGAAAGAACTTTCCTGAATAATGCTTTTTGCTCAGGAAGAAGATTTCCTCGGACTTCTAACTTCAACAGATGGCATTTATGTTATTGATATGTTTTGGTTTTGAAGAACAATTTTGACTTTTCCTGAAGAATCCTATATCTGTGATTTTTATCAGGAGAGAAGATGAAAGCGCAAGCTGTCCCTTCTTTCTTAGTGGACGGTAAGTGGCTGAATTTTTTTTGTAGGACTATGAAGGAGCTAGGTTCTTCTTTCCCATCCCTTGTGCTCACCCGTTTTTTCGCCCTCATGCACCCCCCTATCACTCGCTCCAGCCGAGTGAGCGGCTTAAATCGGAAAGATTTTTACCGGATTAGATTTTCAATTTGGAATTGAAAATTACTTGAAAGAATACAGTACATATAAACCTTCAACAACAGAAAAATTTAACGAGATAGATGTTTCCTTTTTTGTCATTTTTTAAAAAATATTTTTCCTACCTGAATGTATCCTCAAATTTTTTAAAATCATTCCCTTCATACTTTATGGCAAGAAATTATAAAATTTTGGTTATGGTAGTTTTACCAATGTTGATATTTTTTACCCGCGCAGCCAGGATGGTCAACATGCGAGAAGGTTTTCTTGTTTTACTTTGGTAATCTATTTTGATAACTCTTGCAGTCTCGAAAACTTTCAATTGTCTTTGATATTTCTGTATTTCATTGCAGTATCATACCAAAGCTATCAAATTGACTTTCAAAATCCAGGGACTTAATTTGCCTCTAATCTCTTGCTCTTCATTAAATTCTTCAGTACTTAAATCTGATTATGAATCGAGACAAATCAAAACATCTTTCATTGATCTAGGGACGTTCTTCTACGCCACACAAATCTTGTGTTGTCTGGTAGCAGAAATATTTGATGGAAATAAATTCAATAAAAAAAGTTACATTCCACTGTAAAACGAAGTGTGAAACCACTCAATGTCTCCAGAATGTTCAGATAAATATATGTGTTGGTATTTCTAACCTTGTGTCCCGTACAGATAAAGCCGGCGTGTCAGTATCAGAAACTCGCTTTTGAGATGCGTGAAATCATACATATAAATGCCGTTGATCTCAATGAGCTTGTTAGACATGGGATTTTTCGCTTTCCCTAGTATATTTAGAGACTTAAACAGTTAAATTGCTTTGTTAAATATCTTTTGTTAACTCTATCAGTCTCACTTGCAGAACGTTCGGTTGTTTCCCTGGTTAGTTCTCTTGGTACAGCACTTTTACAACTTAATTGAAACTAAGGAAACATTGACAATACAGAGCTAAAAATGGGAAAAAAATCTCACCTTTGAAAACAGAAAATGTCTTCTTTAGTCTCCCGATGGTGTGACTGATAAAAACATAAGTAAGAGAGTGAAATTAGACTTTCGCTGTCAAACAAACGTTATTGCAAATAGCTAATATAAGAACGTTTTACTCACACGTTTGGTAAGAAGAAACCATAAAAAAAAAACTAAGGAAGAAAATTTTTTTCTAGATTGCCTATAATAAAGAAATAAAAAAACGCGCTGAGTGCATTGTTAAGTTATGTAAGCACGCGGGAATTTTTTATGAACACTCGAGAAGTGCGGACCGTTGACGTAGGCTGCGTGCATTATATCTCATTATAAAATAATTCAAATAGTACGCGCGCTCTGATTGGCCATAAAACCATTTTACATGAGCGTATGTAAACACGGTTTTCGTTCCTCTTTCATTAGTTATTTTATAAAAGAAATGTAAAATGGTTTCCGTGTTTACGTAGCCTGATGTAAACACTTGGGAGGTTGGGAGAACACCCGATAAGCTGGAAACCACTCCGCTTGGCGTCGTGGTTTTCTACGCTTATCTCGTGTTCTCCCAACCTCCCGCGTGTTTACATCAGGCTATGTAAACATGGAAACCATTTTACATTTCTTCAACAGTGCACTCGTGTGACGTAAGGCGCGTGCTTTATGGAAATATAATGAACTCGTTCTGACCAGTCACGGCGCGCGCATTTCTCTGAACATTTTATAATATATATAAAATAACATACAGGATCTTCGTATTTTGTATCTTTAAAGAAATGATGGAAATGTAGTTTCTCCTTACAATATCAAGATACCTTACAGAAATCAAGTGGTGAGAGTAATCAGATCGATCAACAAGGTTTTATGTCTATCATTAAGATATAGCAAATCTATATTTTAGCGCTAAATATTTCTGAAATAAACTTTAAGCCGCTCACCTTTGGAAAAGAAAGGATATCTGGATAGTTAGGAAACCGCACGAAGATATGAAATTATCTGTACAAAGAAAAGACAAGTACAAAGAGTTGCTGCTGGATCGAATATTAAAATGATCGGTTTAAATAATTATTCTAAAAA